AAAGGGCGGCATATAAATGTAATCAATCAATCAATATTCACGTTTAAAGATTCAAGAAAAAAAATAAACTTTGCAGGCGTAATGTTACTTTTTAAAAACAAAACCAGACGTGTTTCCAATGGTTCCGTAACTAAAGGCAAGGGAATGTACGTGTAACTTTGTCAGCCCTCCCCCCCCCCCATTTCACACGTCTTAGAACAAAAACATCTTTATTTGCTTTCCTGTTGCAAAAACAGATTTACCATTAAATATATATGACTGTCTCACTCATAAAATTTTGAGATCTTTCTGTGTTTTTCAGTATTGAAAATAACAGTGATGACACTTATTTGCTTAAATTATGTATCCCGTGTGTACGGGAATATATAAATTCTAGCTTGGAGCATAAATATAGATTTGGCCTGATTTAGCCCTTAGCGCTACATCCATTGAAGTTCACAGAATTGCATTAAAATTTGGCTTAATTTATTATTTATGATTATACTGTTTTAAGCAAATCCAAAGTCTATACAGTGCTTAAAAAAATGAAAGACGTAGATAAGGTAGCACACATAGATATTATCTGCTTATACGTATTTCCTGAGAAATATCTTGTTTTCCATTCGAAACTCTATAGAAAAGAGTTGCATGTAGGTAATTTTGTTAAGTGTATCAGTTCCCAGTAATTTATTATTCCCAGTAATTGATATTTGCATCAATATATCTTCCGCAAGTATTTGAAAGTATATCATACTACATTTTCAGCAGATCCATTTGCTGCCTCGCCTTCTTGCTACATCAGAGTGCCATGTTTCATCGTTCAGAGGAAGTTCTTCTGGATTATATCTTTCTAGTATCTGGTTCATACTGAAATGTCAACATATGGGAGTAAAATCGATGTATGTTAAGAATAAATGGTGATCCTGTACCTAATGATTGTACTACAACGTCCAGCAACTTGCCCTGTATGGCTAATGTCAGCAACATAATACAATTGTATACAATATATCAGGGTTGTGCACAGGTTTTTTTAGCCAAATTTGACTACAGGTTTTCTACACTGAACTGTGTAGACCAGATGTGGGTTCCTACCAGTTTGACCGAACCGGTAGTGGTTTGGACATCTGAGTCTCCGGAACCAGCAATGACCCAGGCCTGCCATGCCCCCAAACCGGTTTTCCCAGCAGTATCAGAGGCGCCACCATCTTCTTTTTTGCTTCTGCGCATGTGCGCATCAAGTATGTACACGCATGGGGGCGTGGCCACAACCAAACCGGCAGTAGTGACTGCCGGAACCCACCCCTGGTGTAGATAAG